GCCATTGCACTCCAGCCTGGGTAACAAGAGTGAAACTCCGTAGAAAAAAAAAAAAAAAAAAAGGAGAGGCTGGAGGCAGGGAGACCAAGGCTTGGACCAGAAGCTGCAGTAAGGCACTGCTACTGCAGAAGGCCTCAAATACCAAAGTCACAGTCCTCAAGGAGAGCTTCAACCAAGAGTTAGTCTTAGGAGACATCTGTCTCTAAATAGATATCCAAAACCCTTGGGGGTGAGAAGAACTGCTGGAGAGCAGGTACCAAAAAAATAACAGAAAAATCCAGAGATCTGTGTTAGGGAAGATTCTCAGTAGCCAGTCTCAGTTTTTATCATATTAAATCTGGAGGAAGAAACTGCTGAGTCAGCTTCATCCAGGCTGAAGTAGAAGGGAAAAGACATGCCCAGATGGGCCTCCTTTCATGCAGAAAGGGCTCTAGTCTTGGGAAAAGCGTCTTGAAACACTAAACCTTACCCAGATTCCAGAAATTGAACTCTGGATTCCACTAAAAAGAACCGTAGACCTGGAAGCCAATTTCCCATGATTCTGCTCACCTTGCTTAAATCCACAGGACTATGTTCACAATTCACTCCATTTTTTACTTCAAGACTTGTAGTTGGAACAGACTGAGGGGACACAGTTTGACCTATTTGGAGAAAATCAATCAAAATCCTGAGTCCCTGCCCTTTTCCCCTCTGACACACCCCATCCATCAGTCAACTGGCTCTGCCTTCTCCTGCAAAGCCTACATAGAGAAGAGGTTAAGATGACTACGAAGTCAAGACCCACATACACCTTTCTCCTTACCTACTAGTTAGTGGTAAGGGGAGGACAGAGCTCTTACTACTTCTGCACCTTCTTTCTGAACACATTTGTAACCCTCTTTTATTTCTCTACTAAGGCAGTGATCCTTAACCAGACATGCTTATAAGAGACCTCTATGGAAAACTTTTCAAAAATATAGATTCCCAGGCATATCCCCTGCTCATGGTGCTTCAGTATGGGTAATACTCAGGAAATGAATGTAGATGAGGCCCTGCCTGGCCACAGGAAAAGGAACCAATCAGCAGCCGAAATTCTGAGTGTTTATCATCCACCATGCATCTGAGTTAAGGCCCTCACATAGATCAACTCGTTGAAGTTCACAATAAATTTACGGAGTAGGTCCTATCAGTACTCTTATGTTATAGGTAAGAAAGTGAGACTTAAAGAGGCTTAGTAGATTGCCCAAAGTCATACACTGAGTGGTAAAGCCAGAATCACAAGCCTACAAGTCTGACTCAAGAGCCTCCACTACTGTATTTTGCCTCCCTAATCTAAGACATTTGTCTATTCCTAAAAAGCTCCAATTTACCTTCTCTCGTCTCAAATTATCCCCATTATGGATATCTCTCAAAAGCTACATCAGTTCTGAGGCCACCCTAGGGCGTAAGTCCCTCACCTTAGGTCCATTGAGAACTATCTGAGGAATGCATCCCTAGTGCTCTGAGAGAGAGATGGGCAGCAGTCCCAGCCACCCACCTTACCAGTCTCCAAAAAGTACTAAGTGCCTAAGTAGACATGGAAACATATTAGACAAATACAGCCCCGACCCCTGGTAAGTCAGCATCTCTAACTAGTTCCCAAATTTCTTATTAATAAAGAGAGAAAAATCACCTAATAATCTTACCATGTTTATCCATCGAATGTGGATCGGACTGCTTCTTGCCAACCTCAGCAAAGGAGCGAACAATGGGAATGAGGTTGTTTCTCTTCTTTTCATTCTGATGATGATGCTTTTTGAGAAGGGCTTCCCGCACTTTAACCCTCATGCAATCATTCAGGTCACTGGACAGTTCTTGCTGATCCAGGATCAGGTCTGGAAAGTAGGCACTCACATGAACACTCAGACTGAGGGTTAATGAACAGGTGGAATGGGGTAAAGGCATGGAGTAGGGGGAAGCAGCTCCACTACAGCTATTGAGGTGCAATTTCAGCTTCATGTCTGAAAGTGCTATTTGATGATAGTGACTGTGAAAAGTTATACTTTATTCATGCAACAAATTATTACGATTGGGCATAGAAACTATTGAGTACTAGTACAACAGTCTTCACAAATAAGGAAACTGAGGCGCAAATGCTAGAAAATTCTCCAAGGTCTTACATCTAGTAGTTTGCAGAGCTAGGATTCAAATTCAGGACTATATAATTTGAAAGCTCACATTATTACCTACTTTGTTCTGTCATCTGCTAAATTTTCCCTACATTCCCTTCCTCCAAGATTTTGACATTGCTGTGATTGTCAAGAAGAATTATAACTGTAGAACTCCAAAGGGCTATTTAGAAGAGGAATCTATAAGAAAAATTAAGTTAACTAACCACTCACCCCAGACAATTACCAACAAGCATCACCTCGAAACCTATCAAGGCCAATGGAGTTGAGGGGAAAAAAATTTCAATACCTAGTGATAAGTGTCAGTAAACATAGCAGTTATCAGTATGGGTTCTGGAGTTAAAGGCCTACATTGCTTCCTTTTTCTACCACTTTCTAGCTGTGTGATCTTGGGCAAGATACATACTCTCTCTATACCTTAGTTCTTCATCTGTAACATGGAACTCATATTACCTATGTTAGAAGGGTATTACAGAAAATTAAATGAGATGATATAGAGAGAGTGCTGATTCTCCTGATATACTTTGCTGATCCTTATCACTAAAGTATTATGACTATATTAGGTACCTGATGTGAAGAATCATAGCACTTTTACTTCAGTCCTACATAATACTTCAAAAGCCTCCCAAAACTCTCAACCTATCCTAAATTTCTAATTCCATCCATGACTATCCAAGTACTAGACGCAATAAATGAGGCTATTCCATAATCAAGCTGAAGAGCCATATTTCTGTATGTTTAACCTTTATATTCATTGGTTCCTTCCCCACCCCACCCCAATATTCTAATCATGCTTCGGGACCCTTCATCTTGGGGGAAAAAGAAAGAACATCCACATCATGTCTCCCTCTATCTACTGCCTCCTGTCTCTCTTATCACCTAAAGTTCTCAGAAGAAAAATTAGCCATCCCTTACTATCACTGCTCACAGTGCAGGTGACATCTCACCTGAACTACTGCAATAGCTTAATGCATTTCTCCCTTCAACTGACCCTCTATATTGCTGTCATAATTATCTTTATAATATGAAAAATCTGACCGGGCGCGGTGGCTCAAGCCTGTAATCCCAGCACTTTGGGAGGCCGAGGCGGGTGGATCACGAGGTCAAGAGATCGAGACCATCCTGGTCAACATGGTGAAACCCCGTCTCTACTAAAAATACAAAAAATCAGCTGGGCATGGTGGCGCATGCCTGTAATCCCAGCTACTCAGGAGGCTGAGGCAGGAGAATTGCCTGAACCCAGGAGGCGGAGGTTGCGGTGAGCCGAGATCGCGCCATTGCACTCCAGCCTGGGCAACAAGAGCGAAACTCCGTCTCAAAAAAAATAAATAAATAAATAAATAAAATAAAAATAAAAATAAAAATTAAAAAAAAGAAAAATCTGATTGATCATTACCCTGTCCAAAACTCTCCAGGGGCTGCTGTTGTTTACAAAGAGTTTTAAACAGCTTCAATAGCTCCCAGGGATTCTTCTCTCTAACAAACAACCTTTTAAGGGACATTCATGGAATTTCAGACAAGTAGTCAAAAGTTAGCTAAATGTGACTCCAATGGTGGACATGAGAATTCCATTGTTCCCAGGCAGTCAGAGCGATACTTCTGGGGCACCTCCTTGAAAAAGAAGGGGACCCAATATCCCATCAGTGCTTATCCCTCCCCTGGGTCCTCCTATGATCCCAGAGAGACAGAATTACTTGAATGCTTGAAATAGAGAAAGGTTTGGAGAAATATTTCTTTAACCTGTCCAGTCAAACAGAACCAATTCAAGGGAAAAGTCCCTCGTGCGCCCAGGTGTTTCTCCATCCAGGCCCCAAATATACTAACTTAACACTCAATCACATCGGGAAGCACAATCAGACATCTCCCCCTCACATCTTACTGAAGAAGTAGGGGCACTTTAGCTCAAGTTCCTGCATATCTGCCCTAGATGCTATAATTTAAAGTCTTTAATTCTGTTTACTTTTTTCTACACACAACTTCCAGTTGCCCCTTTCTCTAATTACTACTATCAAGCATATCTCTGTTGTTGCACTTATTTTAATTGTCATTTCCATGGCTATTTCCCCATTTGAAGGTGAGCTCCTTGAAGGTAGGAATCCTTTCTTTCTCTTTTTTTTTTCTTTTTTAAGAGACAGGGTCTCGCTCTATCACCCAGGCTGGAGTGCAGTGGCACAATCTCAGCTCACTACAGCCTTGACCATCAGGGCTCAAGCGATCTTCATGCCTCAGCTTCTTGAATAACTGGGGCTACAGGTATAAGCCACCACTCCCAGCTAATTTTTCTATTTTTTGTAGAGACAGGGTTTCACCATGTTGACCAGGCTGGTCTGGAACTCCTGAGCTCAAGCTATCCACCCACTTCAGCCCCACAAAGTGCTGGAATTACAGGCATGAGCCACTGCACCCGAGGGGACTTTATTCCCCCTTGCCTAGCACGTCATCAAGTATATAGCAGATACAAAATAAAATATTTGCTGAATGAACAGACAAATGAAAATTTAACACCATGTGATTTGAATTCCATAATACACCTATGAAGTAGGTAGAGTCATTTATTCACCTGAAACCCTTCCCACAGCCAAGGACACTGAGGCCAGGAAGGTTGTGGCTTGCCCAAGGACACACAAGCCACTGTATTCTTTCTGCCACACCATACTCTTTTTCCCCCCACACTTCTTAAATTTACAAGAAAGTCTCTCTGTTTTCCCTTCCCCAACCTTACCTGAAATTTCTTCTATGCTATTTGCACGCATATCCAGAAGGACTGTTCCATTAATAAGGCAGCTTCTTAGCTCAAACAGACTGTGCAGTGAAAGGGTTGCCACGTAAGGCTTGCTCCAGCGTTCTCCTCCATCTTCAACATCTTCTTCAAACTTCAGCCACCTGAAAGCATTACAAATAGCTAGATGCCAAAGATAGAAAATGAGGAATTTTCAAGAGAGAATCTTCAATGTAAGCCATAGAGGAAGCTATCTGAATAGTCATACTGAGCACTGTAAAATCTATATGTTCAGGGTACATTGGTAAGTTTAAAAAGCAGGTAATAGAACACTGCAAGATTGAGTATAGTTTAATTCCATTCTTATTTAAAGAAAATTTTAAAAGTCAAACACATACATGTATAAGACACCAAATATTATACTCCTCATTAACCCTGCAGTTTTGGGATTACAGATATTTTTTTTCTTCTTTTTGCTTATCTTTATTCTTAAATGTTCTATAATAAGCATGCATTACCTGTACAATAAAAATAGATTTAATCTCTATCACTTGGACACATTGACAAATCACATTAATAAAACGATATTTTTCTTTTTATCTCTGTCCTGTGTGACCTTTAGTGTTCAGTGTTCTGTGTGACCTTTAGAAGCATGCCAAGACGGAATAACAAACGAATAATTTCCTTTTCACTTGATACCAGGTCAATTGGCCCGTTTAAATCTCTCAACCCATAACATTCACAATACAGCAGGCATTCAGCAAGAGCTGTTTCAGTGAGAGCTGGAGCCACGCTTTGCTAATTACCCACCTCCCTCCTTCCCTGAGTCTCAAGCATCATCTATAAGGTTCACTGGTCAGTTACTAGAAGAGCCTAGACATGCCCCCTGAGGGCTCTTCTGGGATTTGAGTCTCAGACAAGCAGTTATTCTACAATCACTCCAGGAAGCCAACAGTCAGGCTGGTTATAATCCCAAGGGTCTTTATGAGGTTGAATTGTCCCAGAGGAATTTAAAGTCTCAAAAACTCTGACTGCCAGTGAATCTGAACCCTGTGGTTCACCTGCATAAGAAGTCTGGACCAATGCTATGTCTGCTTAACCAGGTCCCCACCAAGGTGGCCCTGTCCACATCTTCTAAGCCAGACCTATAGTAATACCAAGAGAGCCCGTAAACTTACTCTGAGCCCCAAACAAATGAGACGAGACCCCTTGAATATCCTATGTTTATTTCACCAATCCCATCCTCCAGGTTAACTGGCATAGGTATCACCAAAGGCATAACAAAGAGGCCAACATCAAAGATTTCCACCAGAGACCCTAGAATGTCAGTCCCCATGTCAGTCCCCCTTCTTCTCCCAAGAAGAAACAAAGCAGGCAGGCCTGTCACTTGCTGAAAGGTACACATTTGCCTACCGAAGCAGATCTTGATGCAGGCCATTTTAGGGCCTCACCTGGCTGTTTCCTTCCATTCAGCATCTTCTCCCTCTTTCATACAGATCTCATCCAGCTCTGTAAACAGCTCATGAGGCACATGCTCTTCATCTTCCTCGGTGCCAAGAATGAACTGAACACGCTGAGATGGTGTGTCTAGGAAATCAACCAAAGAGAAAGGTCTGCTCTAGCCTCACACTTAGAACAGAAATATCATTTTGCCTTACCTAACAACTTTTGGGATATATATAGACAGCCACGAACGCAGATGAAAAAGATTTCTTTATTCTAAGAGAAAAAGCTACTCTGTACAAGTAGTTTCATGGGAGAAAAAATTTATGAATGAAGACCACTTGAAGAAAACCCACAAGAAACTGGAAAACTGATGAATTTGATAAAAATGTTTGGCTAATTCTCTAGCAAGGGATTTTACCTATTATGATATTGATATTAGGGGGGTCAGAACTGTGAAGTTTTCATGAAAATATTTTTGACTTTTAAGAGGCATTTCTTCTTGGAAGCAGCTCTGAAAATCCTACAAAGGGCTGGAGAATCAAGACCAGCTGCTAATGTCAGTCACATGTCCCCTCAGACTCCCCATGCCTCCGGGCCATGGAAACCCGCCCTTCATCTCCCGCCCTTCATCTCCCAGTCTCGGAAGGCCATTACCGTGGGCCAGGGCTTCCAGGCCTTCCTCCCCCTGGCTGGCTCCTTTACCCCGCCCTCGCCTCCGGTGCTTCTGGCCATGAGTGCGGTGGTGCCGATGACTCTGCCGGCCCAGCGGCATCCGAACTCCCACATACAGAGTTCTATGACCTGGAAAGAAGTAGAAGGTCTGTGGAGAGAACTCCTTTAGTAGAAAAAAAAAAAAATCCTAGCATAGTTAAGAAGAAATATCACAGTTCTTTGGCCTGGTCACAACTCTGAAATAACAAAACTTCAAAGACTTCCAGCAGTAAAGATATAGAGATTTTGGAGTTGAGGGTCTCTTTCTTTATGCTGCACATGCCTGCAAACTTCACAGAGATCTTGTGAAGATTGAAAGAAACAATGTGCTTTGCAAATTGTAAAGGCTGATTCAGATGTTATTGTTATGACAATGACAATTTGAGTGATTTTCTTTTGTTTCGAGACGAAGTCTTATTCTGCTGCCCAAGCTGGAGTGCAGTGGTGTGACCTCAGCTCACTGAAACCTCCACCACCCAGGTTCAAGCGATTCTCCTGCCTCGGCCTCCCAAGTACCTGGGACTACAAGTATGCATCACCATGCATACTTGTGTATTTTTATATTTTTAGCAGAGATGGGGTTTTACCATGTTGGCCAAGCTGGTCTTGAACTCCTGACCTGGTGATCAGTCAGCCTCCCAAAGTGCTGGGATTGAGTGATTTTTTTAAAAGGTGACACAGTTGCTCTATAACAAGTGTGGCAGGTCTTGGCAGGGAGGCAGAAAAGTGGTTAAGAGCACAGGTAAGGCTCAAATCAGCCCACCTGTGTCCAAAACTCAATTCCATCATTCCCTAGCCATGTGACCTTGAACAATTTAATCTCTCTGTGATTCATCTTTAAGAAGAAATATTAAAAGTTTGTTATTTAATTGGAGTTTTCATAAGTAGTAAATAAGGTTTTGCATGCAAAATGCTTAACACAATGCCTAGAATAAGCTGTAACAGCCTTGGATGTATTCATCCTAGGATCACCTTCCATTATTTTATTTTCTGCATTGTAGAATATACAATCTAGAATAATACTAAAAGAAACTAATTATAAGTCATGAGAAGGGTGGGGTTAGGGTTAAAAAAAGACATTAAATATTGTACAAAGAGAGGGGAACATGAGAAAATAAGTGACCCAACAGTGTTTCCTCCCTAGTTCCTCCACTCCTATTCCTTCTTTTTATTCTTGAGATAGTATCTCACTCTGTCGCCCAGGGTAGAGGGCAGTAGCATTGCGGTCATATCTCACTGCAACCTCGAACTCCTGGGTTCAAGCAATCCTCCCACCTCAGTCTCCCAAGTAGCCAGGAATACAGGCGTGCACCACCACACCCAGCTAATTTTTAAAATTTTTTGTAGAGACGGGGTCTTGCCATATTGCCCAAGCTAATCTCAAATTTCTTACCCCAAGCAATCCTACTGTCTCCACCTCCCAAAGTGCTGGGTTCACAGGCATGAGCCACCACATCCAGCCTCATTCCTTCTATAAACCTGCTTTGGTTTTGATCCTGATTTCCAGGTCTCTGTCACCTCTACCTGGCTTCCCCTTGCCTTCCTGCCAAACCTGGAGCCCAGAATCAGTAGCTTTGGGGCTGCTGATGCTCCCGTGCCCAGTGCACCGTGCCTTAGTCTTCTCCCATTTCTGCCTGGTTACTGCTGCTCAGCAGTCTAGATCTCAGACCCAGTCCCTACATCTTCCACCAAAGGAGCTGTTCTAATCCTTACCCACTGTCTTCAAATCCACAACCTTATCTACATTCCTTCCTGCTGAGAACAGGTGACATTCCATCAGTTTTTAAATGTTCTTTTTTTTTTCCTTTCTTTTTTAGACAGAGTCTCACTCTGTTGCCCAGGCTAGAGTGCAGTGGTGTGATCACCATTCACTGTAGCCTCAAACTCTCAGGTTCATGTGATCTTCCTGTATAGCTGAGACCTCAAGCATGCACCAACACACCCTGGAAATCTGCCTGATTTTTAGTAGAGACAAGTTCCTGACACGTTGACCTGGCTCATTTCAAACTCCCAAGCGCAAGCGATCCTCTGGCCTCAGCCTCCCAAAGTACTGGGATTACAGGTATGAACCACTGTACCCAGCCCTCACTTCAGGTTTTACTGAGAAGAGATGGAAGTTCTTCTCTTCCTCAGTCTGGCTTGCTCTCCTCTGCCAAGCTGAGTATGTTAATGAGTATGACTCTATCCCATTGCTTCTCGCCCTCCGGGGGTCCTGTTGCTTCTGTTATCCTCGGTCTCTCCTTTCCATCCATCCCTGCCACAGGTTTTTCCTGACTTCTTAAAAAGAAACCTTCCCAAGCAGTGCTACTCTCCCATGTCCTCTTTCCTTCTCTATCAAACCATTTCCAAAAACAGTCACACCCTAACTCCCTTTCCTTACCACTTACTTGTTCCACAGCCTCTGCATATGGCTTCTGACCCCAGTCTCTGCTGAAGCTTCCCTCAGTAGGGACACCACATCAGTCATTCACCAAATCTCTATCATCTTACATCTCTCTCAGCTTAGTTCATAAGACTTTCTTGAGAGCCCACCATGTTGCAGGCAGTATCCAAACCACTTGGATGCTCTGGGCTCCCTGAGCTGTGGTGCCACTGCCCTCCCCTGGTTCACTTTCACTACTCTGACTATGCTGCTCCATCCCCCAACAAGCCATCAAAGGATGGCTCCTCAGATTTCTGTCCTTGGCCCTTTTCTTCTCTCTTTTTAGTGCTAAACACACTTCTATTTTCAAAGTTCACTTTTACAAATGACCTTCAAATCTCTATCTACAGTGATTAAACATGTCACAAAGCAAGGTCACCATCCTCCATCTCAAATCAGTCTTATACTCATTCCGTGTTTCTATTCACAGCCTTGCCATTCTCTCAACTTCCTAGGCTTGAAACCTGAGTGTTACCTTAGATTTTCAACTCCACTTTCTTTCTCCATCACTGTACATTCTATAGATTAAGGCCATTAAACCACCCACTTGGACGAAGCAGGGGTTCCTTCCTGTCTCTCACACTAAATTAACCCTGCAAACAAATCCTCCTAGTTACAGCTCTTATCATGGCTCACCCATATGAATTCAGGACCTTCAAGCTCAGTACTCAACCTCATTTTCAGTCTTTTCTTCTTTTAGTACAAATTATATATTCAGTGGGAAAATAAAATGAAAGACCTCTCAATAACTAAGTAACAAGCTCAAGAGAAAAAGTGGAAATCCTACATGCTCACAGAAAATCAACATTTGCTGGGGGGGCGGGAATATAGAGATGTGTACCTGTCATGTACCCCAGCAACCGAATGGCCTGGTTTTGACTCCATCTCCTCTTCATGGCCTTGGCTGCTGTACCCACCATCACCTCATACTCTTTTCTCTATCAGAACCAAACCGCTATTCCACAAATGTGCCAGTGATTTCTGGACACTGACTTGGCTCACTTATTCAAGATGCACTGCAAATGCATCTTCCTTCTTGGTATTATTTCTGATCTCCCCCATCAGATGTGCTGCCTCATTCCTTTAAATTCCCAGTGCCAGTCCAGGCACAGTGGCTCATGTCTATAATCCTAACACTTTGGGAGGCCAAGGCAGGAAGACTGTTTAAGGCCAGGAGTTTGAGACTAGCCTGGGGAACTTAGTGAGACCTCATCTCCACAAAAGGTGTAAAAAAAAAAAAATTAGCCAGGTGTGGTGACATGCACCAATAGTCCTAGCTATTTGGAAGGCTGAGGTAGTAAGATCACTTGAGTCCAGGAGTTCAAAGCTGTAGTGAGTTATGATCACACCACTGCACTCCAATCTGGGCAACAGAATGAGAGCCTATCTCCAGATAGACAAATAGATGGATGGATGGATGGATAGATAGATAGATAGATAGATAGATAGATAGATAGATTCCCAGCACCCTTGGTTAGCGTTTTTCTCATGTACTTATTTCTGCTTTGCATTAAAGTTAAGCAGCTATCTCTCTTATTCTCCACTCTTCACTTGCAAGCTCCTCAGTGTCCCAGGTTAGACCTTTCTCTCAGAATGCCTATATAATGAAGCACAATGTTTCACACATGGTCATTGTTCCACAAATGTTCAGCAAATAGAATATCTCTTAAGTATTTCCCTGCGGAGCATAAGCCCTTAGGACCTCCTCAGGAGTACATAATTTGACCTAAGAGGGCCTCTGACTGCGACCTGAAAGAGGCCACAAAAGGAACAAGTAACCAAAGTGAACGTGTTTAGGGTAAATAAAGTACTCACCATGGGATGGGAAGATTGATAAAGTCCTAACTGACCTGAGAATGGAGAGCTTCATCAGGAAGACTTCCCTGAGAAGGAGACTTTATGGGAAGAGTTGCCAACTCTTTTATCTTCTTCTTTTCCCAGTAATGGGGTTTCCTAAGGCTGCACTCAACTTCCTTGACAGTGCTCTCCACTTCCAAATCAGGTTAAAGTGCCTTGGGTACCACTCTAACACCTCTTTCTCTATTTGTCTCTCCTTTTATTTGCTCTCCCTGTTTTCCAAATTCCAAAGTAATAAAGCAAAATAAAAAAGAAACAGTGAGGATTAGAGGAGAAGATGATCAGAGATCTGCTAGAATCTCTAGCAGATGAGAGGCAGGAGGATAAAATGTTTAGCATCTAGTGGAATCGCACTTCTTACCCTCCTGTCTCAGGAGAGTCCTCTGTTGCCTCGTGTATATCTCAGGTCATTTTTAACAGGCAGATCCCTGAACATAATGTAGTCATATGTAGGGAGGAGATTCCATAAGCACCAAGGCTGGAGCAAAAGGCCTCAGCCTATTTCCATATAAATAATGAAGAAGAAAGTAACTAGAAATATAACTGTAGTAGTTATTAGCTATTCATATGTGATCTTGGTTATTCATAGGTGATCTTAATTCTTTTACTAATGCCTCTCAGGTCAGAAGTGTGAACCTGGGGTGACATTATGAAATTAATGACACTAAGGCAAGATGCTCTAAGCCCTCTGTCATGCCCACATAAGGGCTGCTGGAGGGTGCCTCAGATGTGCGGCAGTGCCAGCACTGTGAAAGCGCCCACTGTTTAGCCAGCTAGGGAAGGAGATGTCCAAAAAGGCCGAGATATCTCC